TATCGCCGATTACAATAACGCTAATTGCGAGTACCTATTGAATTTATAAAGTCCAAGATATCCAGATATAAATTGCAGTACGTATAAATGATAACCATGAGTATCAAACGTTTTTATTCAGTTTATATCGGTTCGCAGTCAGAGTTGTTTTTTCCTTAGCAATGCCACCTCCCGTGCCGCGTAAAGCTTTAAATTTAAAACAAAAGGTGGATATTATTCGTTTTAAAGACTCTAACGGAGGTTGGTCTATTCGTAAAATTGCTGACAAATTTGGCATTGGTAAAACGCAAGTGGCCGAAGTTTTAATGAATAAAGAAAATATTTTACGTCGATACAACGAAAATTCCACAAACGAAAAATCTCGCCGATTCCAGAGGAACGGGCCATGTGAATTGATTGATAAAATTGTTTTAGAGTGGTTTAACCGTGTAAGAAATAAAAATGTGCCTGTATCTGGACCAATCATTCAAGCAAAAGCTTTAGAAGTTGCCCGTGAAATCGAGTGTGAAGATTTCAAAGCTTCCAATGGCTGGTTAGAGAGCTTCAAGGTAAGGCATAATATAGTTTTTAAATCGATTTGCGGAGAATCAGCTTCTACAAATCTAACAATTGTTAATGAATGGAAATCGAAAATTTTGAAAATAGTGACAGGGTATGAGCCACAAAACATATTCAATTCTGATGAAACTGGCCTGTTTTACCGGGCATTACTAGACAAAACGTTTTCTTAGAAAGGGGAATCATGCTCTGGTGGAAATATATAGCTAAGGAACGTTTAACTGTTCTTCTATGTGTCAGTATGTCCGGAGAAAAACTTAAACCACTCGTCATTGGAAAATCTGTCAAACCAAGGTGTTTTAAAGGAATTGATGTTAGAAAACTGGCAGTAGATTGGAAGGCGAATAGTAAAGCATGGATGACTACTCATATAATGACAGACTGGCTTCAACGACTCGATCAGCAAATGACTCTAAACAGACTCAAAACAGAAAAATTTTATTGTTACTTGACAATGCGACAATTCCTCCAAATATAACATCAACTTCTCAACCTTTAGACCAAGGAATAATACAAAATTTCAAAGTTTTTTACCGCAAGTTCGCACTACAACACATTATTGCGAATCTGGAGGACGCTCAAAATGCACACGACCTGGCAAAGCAAATTGATGTTTTAAAAGTGATTACATGGGTGAAAAAAGCGTGGTCACAAATTTCATCATTAACAATCACAAATTGTTTCAAAAAAGCAGATTTTCCGTCCAGTGAACCTCCAGAAATCGAAAATGAAGTGAATGGGAATGAGTTGATTGAATTAATGGAGCTTCTTCCGTTGCCTAGAAATGACGATTTTGCCACAATAGACAGTAATTTGTCTACAGAATGTAGCTCAGATGATATAGCTATAATTTTAGATGACATTCGAACTGAATTAAATCCCGTGGAATCCGATGATGAGCAACAAGCTGATGACCAACTAGAAAATTCTGAAATTAAGACGTTTGCAAATTATTCAGAAGCTCTTGAACAACTTATTCGTCTGAAAGAATTTTATTTAAATAAAGGTGATGAAAAGGGATTTTCGTATGTGAGTGAATTAATTATTCATCACGAGTTGGAAATGACCAAATCGAAGTTAAAATAAATATCAATAGAATCATTTTTTAAGAAATAATTACATAATACATTTATACAAATACATACATAATTGTACATAATAAAATAAATAATTAAAATTAAATTTATAATGTATGTGTATAATACATATTAATAAAGATTACGCCTAATACATATTATAAAATATAAAACAATACAAATGTACGTAAAAATTGTAATTTTTAAAACATTGAAACCTGTCTACAACGGACACCTGTCTATAACGGACAATTATTTTGGTCCCGTTACTGTCCGTTATATACAGGTTTCACTGTATTTACAATCAATGATAATGTTTACACTGAAATGAATACGTAATTATCAGGGTTGGGATATTATAGCATTTGCACATTTCTTATGAGATGCTTAAGAAATAGTAGAGTAAGCTAAAAATGTTACATGATACAGAGAACTCAAATTAAAAATTTAATTTTGCTTTTTTTTTGCATATTTTACGATTTTTAGTTTATATTTTTTTTATTGGGTTTTTTGAGACTTTTTTGCATTTTTACCTGTTTTTGAATCAAAATCTGTCAAAATGTTATGAAATTATATTTTATTAAACGTGTTTTTAGATTTTCGTCAATTGAATTATCAAATAAATTGTAAATGTACCTATAGATTAATTAAATTGGTCGATTACGATGATGCAACGCCGTACAGCGTTAATATATAGGTATAATATAATAATACTACGATAATTTCGTATTAGGTGTTTGGTTCTAATTTTTGTTATCTGCTAATTTTGTTGGGTTTTTTTTTTTGTCGATTTCTACTGCGATTATTAATCGCCGATGATCAACGTTGAATTTATTTATTTTATACAGTTGTCTCTTGTGCCTGTACTCGTGTGTTACGTTGTATTTTCGCCGTTTATGTTTATTACTTTGTTTTAAAATGCCAAAAGCTCAATCATCTCTTTCGTGTAAACTTAAAAATGTTGTATCCGAGTTCGGCGAAGAAGTGTTTAAGGTAGATGACAATGTATTATTTTGTCAATTATGTGAGTATAAAGTGAACAGTGAAAAAAAATTTAACATGACTCAGCACTTAAAAACAGATAAACATATTAAAGCAACGAAGCGCCATCAAAATAAAATTGAAAAAAAACAGTTTCTTACGGGCTACCAAAAAAACTCTTTTAATGTCGATTTATGTAAAGCATTTATAGCGGGCAACATTCCTTTAAATAAATTATCTAATCCAATATTTCGACCATTTCTTGAAACGTACATGAAAAATCCGATTCCAGATCAAACCACGTTAAGAAAGTTATATGTGGATGATATATATTACGATACTATGGAAAACATTCGGTCTAAATTATCTTCTAAGCGAATATGGGTCAGCATCGATGAAACAACCGATGTCGAAGGACGGTATATAGCAAATGTAATTGTTGGCAGTCTTGAAGCCGATCGTCAAGGTGTTGTATTTTTACTTCATACTGAAGAACTAGAAAAAACTAATTTTTCTTCTATCAGCCAGCTATTCAACAAGTCAATGGGTATATTGTGGCCGAACGGAGTACAACATGAACATGTTCTTTTATTTGTATCAGACGCTGCCCCATATATGGTAAAGGCAGGGACGGCTCTCCAAGTTTTCTATTCTAAAATGCTACATGTGACGTGTGCAGCCCATGGTTTACACAGAGTAGCAGAACAGGTTAGATCTCATTTCAGTACAGTGGATAAGTTAATAGCAAGTGTTAAACAAATATTTAAAAATGCTCCGAATTGGTTACAATTATTTAAAAATGAACTTCTTGGTGTAAACTTGCCACCAGAACAAGTTGTTACACGTTGGGGAACCTGGATTAATGCAGCTACCTATTATTCCAAGAATATACAAGCTGTTCGTCATATCATTGGATTACTCGACCAAGAAGATGCGATTAGTATTCAAAAAGCAAAAAAAAATGTTTAGACAAACATAATCTTGAAAATAACTTGGCATACATTAAAATCAAATATTTCTATTCTATCTGTAAGTAGGATAAAAAGGAGAGTTCAAAACCCGCATCCTCCGCATCCCGCATCGTCACCCTCACCCTCACCGCAGCCGACACCCGATCGCGTACGTGCGTGACATACATTAGCATTTGCTATCATTTGTTATCATATATTTTACCATCGTTATTGTTATCACATATATTATAAGTTATCACACATGTTATCAGTTATCACATGTTTTCATATATTTAAAAAAAATATAACATTCAGCGTTAGAACCTGGAGATACCCTCCTTCTCAACTCCACTCTAACCCATTGAATAATGTAGTATATATATTTAAATACTATCCCATAATCAAATAAATATTCTAACAACGTATTGTTCCTTCTTATATTTTTAGAAAAATAATATATACAAAAATATAGACATCCTTGACAAATAATAGGTATATTATCCGTATTCAATTAAATATTCACACACTATCTTGCAAAAACCATTCACATTGAAAGACACTTTTGACATTAAGAGACAATAGGAGAATTTCCTTTTTCAGTTAAAGCTTAATAATAGCCCGTTCGCCAGGATGTCGCGGGTTCTTAATAGCCACCTCTCACGTTTGCATCCGTCTTAACATTAGGCCACAATGGCGACGCCGACCGTATGTTTCCTGCCATTAGGATTATTCGATATGTTAAATGCCTATTTCGAAATTCGCACGACTCGTGTCGCATACTCTTAATAGCCACAATGAACATTTATATTGAAAGACACTTTCGACATTAAGGCCTCTTTCACACGAAGCCACCAGAGCAGCGCCACCATGGTCGCGCCACCACAAATTATTAATAACTAAATTAAGGTTTTCACATTTGGTGGCGCCACAAACTTGGTCGCGCCACTCTTATCAGTTCATGCCACCAAATATGCTAAACGCGCGACCAGAATAGTCGCGCCACCAGTTAAATTTATATTGTTTTGATGTAAAAACGCGCATTCTATTCATTCGATCGACTGCCACCGATACGTTTGTACGTTATTTTTGACGTTGTCAATATTTTCGCCATGGATACCAATTTTGACTCAGAAAAATTCATTATTGAAATTGAAAATCGGCCGGCAATATGGAATTCTGCTTGTCCTGAATATTCAAATCGTGATTTAAAAAAAAAATGCTGGGAAGAATTAACTAATATATTTTCTTTTGAAGATAATACATTACAAGAAAAAAAAGAAATTGGTAAGTACATATGTATCTGTAGTACCTTTATATTTCAAAAAATTAATAAAAATAAAAATTTGGATAAACTTCATGTTACATAAATTAAACTTCTTTTTACATTTATAAAATCTTTGAATTTATCAAGATATTAAAATAAAAACATGAAAGCTTAAATTTTACTATACTGCCATTCAATTTGACCATCAGTTATAAAATAATGTGCGTATTTATCCCTCACAGCTTGTGCAGTTCTTGATCCTCTTGTTACATTTTGATTTTCTATAGGTACATTTTCCAATCCTTGAACTGTTAAAGTATCATCATACCGATATCCATCTCTTACTCTAACAAAATTGTGTAAAATACAACAAGCTTTAATAATATTTTGTGCCAAATCAAGTTTCACGTTTAACGGTCGATGAAAAATCCTCCATTTATTGGAAAGAATTCCAAATGTGCATTCTATATATCTTCGAGCTCTTGAAAGCCGATAATTAAAAATTTTTTTTGACATGGTTAAATTATTACCACCATATGGGCGCATTATATTTTCCGATAAACCAAATGCTTCGTCACCAACTATTACATATGGCATTGGTTCTGGGTTTAATGTTGAAATTGGTTTTGGATTAGGAATATTAAGAGAATTGTTAATCAGTTTTTTATAAAACAAAGATTCTTTAAAAATTGACGAATCGCTACTCTTTCCGTATGCACCAACATCTATGGCGACAAATGAGTAGTTAGCGTCACAAACACCAATCAATACAATCGAAAAATAATGCTTGTAATTGTAATACAATGAACCTGTGTCTGTGGGCTTTATAACTCTGATGTGCTTACCATCAACTGCGCCTATACAATTTGGAAAATTTGCAAATGTTTCAAATTTATTTGAAATTTCGAGCCAATCTTCTGTAGACGGTTGTGGCATATATATTTCTTTTAATTTGTTCCATATAACTTCACAGACTAGAGCAACAAATCCAGATATTGTAGAAATTCCGAGGCGATATTCGTGGTGTAATTCCGTAAAAGAGCATCCACTAGCAAGGTATCTGCGTAAAAAAATTAAAAAATAAACATATTACAGTGAAAGTAAAATTATTATCGAATTCAAAAAATACAAAGCATTAGTCCGGTATTTAATAAAAAACGAAAAAAAAAAATCTTGGATAAAATTTACGACAGACCTTAACAGCAAAGAGTCAACATCTAATATTTGGAAAAAAATTAAAGTCATTAAAGGCATTCCCACATCTCAAATAAAAATCATTTTATCCGAAAATTCTATACTTACTGAACCTCAGGAAATAGCCCAATCTATCGGTGAACATTTTTATACTAACAGCAGTGACTCTTCATTAACCCACGATTTTCTCAAGTTTAAACAAGAAAAAGAAAATGAAATTGATACCACTACTAATTTATTACCCAATATTGGCCAAGGCGACAGATTAAATGAACCAATTACCATGCTTGAAATTGAATTATGTCTTCGTGGAAATAAAAGCAAAAGTTGTGGATCCGATAAAATTCCATTCATATTCTTACAAAACCTACCTTCTAGTGGCAAAATTCTTTTACTACGTCTCTACAACCTAATTTGGGAAACAGGCTTAATCCCAATTAAATGGAAAAATGCAATCATCACACCCATACCAAAAAATAATCAAAACAGCTTCAAACCTACTGGATATCGACCAATATCGGTACTCTGCAGCATGAGTAAGTTATTAGAAAAAATCATCTACAACCGTCTAAGTTGGTACGCGACTCATCATAAACTCCTCTCACCATGCCAACATGGTTTTAGAAAACACCACTCAACCACCGACTGCCATGTAAAAATTGAAACCGAAGTCTTAGAAACCTTTGCTAATAAACAATCAATGATACTAATAAGTCTCGATCTACAAAAGGCATACGACACTGTTTGGCGACATAGAGTAATCAATTTACTTAAGAATTGGAACATACATGGAAACATGCTAATTTTTCTAAACAACTTCTTAAACCAACGATCCTTTCAAGTCAAAATCAGAGATCAAACATCTAATACATTTATGTTAGAAAATGGGGTGCCTCAAGGTTCTCCACTCAGTATTTTTTTATTTCAAACAGCAATTAACAACTTGCCCAACATCATTACAAATCCTGCAAAATCAATCATTTTTGCAGACGACACTTACATATATATTCGAGGCACGCAAATTTCTGTAATGACCGGAACACTCCAAAAATGCCTCAATGACCTGTTTGAATGGTGCTTCAAAGCCGGTTTCATTTTTTCGCCTCTAAAGACAAAATGTATTTTATTTTCAAATAAAAGGAAACTAACGAAACCAAAACTCTTTCTTGGTACATCTCGTCTACCCTTTGTTGAAGATATTTCAATACTTGGTCTCACTTTCGACAAAAAGCTTTCTTGGAAATCCCATATCTTGTCGCTCAAAAAAAATTCATACAAAAGCCTTAATGTCATCAAATCATTAAGTCATTGTGAATGGGGTGCTGAAGGAACCATATTATTAAATGTATATAGATCACTTGTTAGATCCAAACTCGATTATGGTTCAATTTGTTATGGAAACTCAGAATCAAAGCTCTTACAAACTGTAGATACAATCCACAATGCCGGACTGAGACTTTCAATTGGAGCATTCAAGAGCAGCCCGATAGTTAGTTTGTTATCCTTGACTGGTGAACCCTCACTTCAGTACCGAAGAACTAAATTATCACTTAATTATATAGCTCGCATCTTATCTTCACCGGAAAATTCAACCATTCACTTTTTAAACAGAAAACGGTTTTCAAAAATATATGAACTCAATTCTATACTAAGAAGACCTTTAGGGTTAAGGCTACAAAAAGAGATGATGGATATCAACATTGAAATTAATGAAATATGTCAACGCGAAAGCAGTCAGATTCCCACCTGGAAACAACCAAATTACCTAGTTGACACAAGCCTATCAGAGCACCTTAAAAAAGAAACACCAAATACTATTTATAATAACCTATTTAATGAACTAATACACACTTCAAATACCAGAACTCAGATCTATACTGATGCATCTAAAACCGAAATGGGCATAGGACTTGCAGTAGTACACCTCAATACAACTAAACAGTACAAACTCAATAAATTAAGCAGTATTTATTCAGCTGAATACTTAGCACTATTGAAAGGAGTTCAATTAGCCCTAGATATCAATAATACTAAAATTGACATATGTTCTGACTCACTTAGTGCCTTAACAAACCTACAATCCAAAACCTTATCAGAACCATTGGCTCTTTCAATTAGCAATCTTCTTTCCAAATCAACCAAAGAAATCAGATTTATATGGACCCCAGGTCACTGTTCCATAAAGGGAAATGAGATGGCAGACGAAGCGGCGAGAAATGCAGTTAATAGTCCTGACAGTGAAATTATTCCTTTTTCCTCACTCGTAGACATAAAAAGAAATATAAACAAATACTGTACTGATCTGTGGAACTCACAGTGGCATACGACCACGGAAAATAAATTAAGAGAAATTAAGCACTCTGTCGAACTCTGGCCGAAATACACTGATCTTAACAGAAAGAATGAAGTAATTCTTAATCGACTCAGAATCGGTCATACGAAACTCACACACGGACATCTTATGGCAAAGAAAGATCCACCTCTATGCCCAACATGCAATACAAACTACTCCATCAAACATATCATCATCTACTGCCCAAACTTCAACGAAGCAAGAAAAGATCTCAACATCCCAGACAACCTGTACGAAGCAATTGGTCCATTTTCAAACTTTCATAGCGTAATTTTATACTTAAAAAAAATTGAATTGTACAACAGCATATAAATATTTAATGTAGAAATTTACACCTGTAAGCTAATAACCTATGTAGTTGATGCTTAACTAATAATAAAAAAAAAAAAAAAAATTTAAAAAAAAAGATTTTAACTATTTTTCCGTCATAAAATAAATTTTAAATATTAAAAATTAAAAACTACGTTTATAAAACTCCTTTCTTTAAATATATTTAAAATATTTTATCTGCTTCAGGTTAAATTTTTTTATACAGTTCATATCATAATTATTTTATTAACAATAATTAATATTAAATATTGAACACATAGTTATTAAATCTCAAGTCAATAGTGTTCATACATAAAAGTTTTTTAATATTTTTGAAATAAATTCGATAATATTTTTTAATTTTATAAATAAATACGTATTTTCACAAAAAAATTTATTTTTTAGGAATAAATTTGCAACGCAAATGGAAAAGTTTACGCGATTGTTTTTCTAGAGAATTAGGCAGAGTTAAAAAACTTAAATCCGGGTCTGAAACTTCCAGAAAAAATCCCTATGTCTTTTACAATCAGTTATTATTTCTAAAACCAATCATCCAGAATAAATCAACAGAAACAAATATAATGCCAGATGCTGATGAAAGTGGAGATGATTTAGGAGGTCCTTCTACTAGTCAAGTATCAAATAGTGAACCTAGTTCTAAGAAGAAAAAAACTACCTCTATAAATTCATTGGAAAAAGAAATAATTGACGCATTACATAAAAGTGTTGAGCTTCGAGAAGAACAGACCAAAAAATACAAGGAAGACGCTGATAGATTGTTTTTGTTATCTTTGTTAAAACCTTTAAAAGAAATACCTGAACACTTGCGTTTTTCAGTTAAAATGGATTTAATGAAAATAATAAATAATGCTCAAATCAATTCACACTCAGCTTCTTTAACTTTATCTCATCCTCAACAACACAACTTCGGTAATCAAAATGTAATGCCTTACATTAATCAAGATTTAAATACGGGCCCTAGGTCTGTGTATCTACCTAACCAACTACACTCAGATCCAAATTATCAAAGGGCATTACAAAATCAACTAATTACTCAAAGAAGACCTACATCTACAATACAGCCATATTCAAGTAACACAACTCCATTGCCTTCACCAAACACCTACACTTCTACTGACAATTCTTCGGACTCATATATTCAGACCGACATATTCAATTAAACCGATTATTATAAAGTGACCTATTAGTCTATTTACAAAAAAAAATATGTCCAAGTTTTAAGTATAAATGTATTTAAGTATAAAATTTTAACTTGCACCAAATTATGTCATTTAATTCTAAACCCAAGAGTGAATAAGTTTTTTTTAATTTTAATATTTTAATGTTTTTATTTTTTTTTAACAATAACATTTGTAATACGAATTTTTTTAATAAAGCTTATAAGTATTGTTATCTAATCGTATATGATAAAATATTATAATTAGTATTTAATTAGTAAATAACTAAAATTATACCTTACCTTAATGTTACGACCAATTTTTCGACAGGTGAAATACATTCCCTCATATTTGTTTGTTGACCCGTTAAATCTTGCTGCAGAAGTTCCAGTAATTCATCAAAGGACTTAATTGACATTCTTAAATAATTAAAAAAGTATTAGCATACCTCTGCTTTTTTATCACTGAGTATAGATGAATCGGTTTAGTCTGCCCCGACACATTGATCGATCGCTCGCTCTGACTTTAAAAAATTTCCAACGGTGTAAAATATTTACAAGCGTTTAAACATTTTATTATTTTTTCACGTTCGCTCGCGCCGACTTTAAAAAAATTTACATTGTTTAAAACTTTTTTAATTTAAACATGTTTAAATGTGAAAAGTGTCCGTCGATGTTCGGGCGTAAAGACAGTTTGCTCAGGCACAAAAACATACATCGAGGAAATCGGTCTTCGTGTTCTATTTGCTCTGCGACGTTAAGTACCAAGTCTAATTTGAGCAGACTTATGAAAAACATTAACGGTATGTTTATTTATTTTTTTTATTTTTTTTATTATTTTTTAAAAATTAAATTTGATATTTATTTTACAAGCTGTTGGTCGTGTTCGAACGCCTCGAGGTGAAATAGAAACAGCTAAAGATAATAATGAGCCAAACGAGGATTTTGACGACGAGTGCGACGAAATGTGCGTGCAAGTTTTGAAGAATGCTGAAAATGCTGGACTATGCAAAACGACAAGTAAGATTTATTTATTTATTTATTTATTTTTGTTAAATTTAACTCAATTTAATTTACTTTTTATTAATTATATAGGCAAGGTTTGCGTTCAGATACCTGGTGAAATAGAAATAGCTCCCAGAATATATGTCCCAGACATACCAGCTGGAGTTTCTAACCAAAAAGCTGTGTCTTCAACTGAACCAGTGTTTGATGGGGATGATTTTTGTATGTCTGCGATGGATGAATTCGAAAAAAATACGGATACTACCAAAGGTTAGTTACTCTTAGATTTTTACATCTGCCGCGAGTTAGACCTATAGGTTTTCTTTACTATACAATAATGTGTATTGAACTAGGTATACCTTTATAAATATTTTTTCTAATTTTTTCTAATTTTAGGTTACTATACCCGAGTAGGTAATAAACGAATACATACAGAAAATACTGAAACTGTAGTGAAATTAAAAAAAGTTAGACTTCAAGCAGTATCAGATTTAGGATTCATAGAAATTCAATCAGCACACAACCGTAAGGTTGTGTGGTATTATTATAAAAATATTAATAATGTACAGAATTATTCAAAATTCATCAAGTACATCAAATCCGCTTTAGTAGAGACCATTAATAAACATTGTTTGCCTATTAAATTTAATTTGAAAATAGAGGCTACATATAATAGACCTAACGTAGAAAATTCATCCAAGAATAGAGCTTTTAAAACCTCAGCCAGGTAGATTTTCGCAGATAGCGATTTATTGTCAATTTTAGAAGATTGTTTTCATAAATTGAAATATGAGAAGGAGAAATATACTAGTAAGGGCTCCGGACTTTCTTTCCAACACATTGACAGAATTTTATTGGGAATTTATAAATATTCTCCATTTTCCGGCTCTTCTTTTATTCAACTCCCACCATGCGTTGATTATAAACGGGCTACTATTAACTCTCAAAACTCAGATCAGCATTGTTGCAAGTGGGTTTTATTAGCTAAACATGTCATGGGAGGAAATAAATACAGCGTCAACAATAGATATACCAGGCATGAGGGCAAATATAGCTTTGACGGTATCTCATTCCCAACTTCGCTGTCAGACATTAAAAAATTTGAAAAAAACAATCAAAACGTCTCTATAAATGTATTCGGCATCCATAAACAATATATGCCACCGCCTAAACTTCCATCATATAAGATATTCCCGCTCAAAGTTGTTGAAAATGAGAAGCAAGACCACTATAATCTACTTTTAGTTACCGAAAAGGATAAATCACATTATATTTACATATCTGATTTTTCACGCCTTATAAGCTCTCAGAAAACTAGACACAACGGACGTGTTATATTTTGTAAAAGATGTTTTAAGACATTTGATGACAGGCATCATAAATTTAAATTGAGCGGACAAGAGGCATTAAACCAGCATAAGAAGATATGTGGAGCTCACAAACCTATACTCCCTGTTATGCCGTCAGAGGGGGATACCTTAGACTCTAAGGCTTAGAGTTTGAGGGCTGGAGTAAGACGCAGAGACATCCGATCATTATTTATGCTGATTTTGAGGCCCTACTAGTAAAATGTGATGAGAGAAAAGGCGATAGTACAACTGCTTTTCAAAAACACGAGCCTATGAGTTGTGGGATATACGTAAAGGCAGCAGACGATATACCGATTGAGTTACTAGATAAATTTGATATACCATCATCTGTAATTATTCACCGAGGGTCTGAGACTCGAGCTGAAGTTGCTAAAAATTTTATAGAGACTGTTGTAGAAATATCTAGAAAAATAGAGAATCTTTTGAAGAAAACATAGAAATAATTATAAGTAATGAAGAGCAGGAAAAGCATGATAAGACTACAACTTGTAATTTATGTAAAAAAGATTTTACGTTTTTAAACGATAAAGTAAGAGATCTCTGCCATCTGTCGGGTCAATTCCGCCAGATGATTTGTAATATGTGCAATTTATCTTTGAAGATGCCGAATTTTGTACCTTGTTTCTTGCACAATCTGAGTAACTACGATGTTCACTTCATTGCTTCCGAGTTGGGATACGATGAGAAAAGTATAACGGTGATACCTAATAGCGAAGAGAAATTCATTTCCTCTTCAAAATATATCTCAAGTAAATTTACTTTAAGATTTATTGATACATGTTAGTTCATGGCTTCAAAACATTAGCCAAAAATTTGATAACACCGGACTTAGAAAAATTCAGAGAAATTTCAAAACATTTTTTTAATGAAGACTTGTCACTTGTCACCCGTAAAGGAGTATATCCATATGAGTTTACTGATGATTAGTCTAAGCTCGAAGAGACAACTTTACCGCCAAAAGAAGACTTTTAGCACACTAACAGAAGAACACATTACAGAATGAGAATACGAACATGCGACAGAGGTTTAAGTTTGGAACCATTTTAACTGTCGAACGCTTGGAGAGTATAGTGATCTATACCTCAAAATCGATGTTCTTCTGCTAGCCGATGTATTTGAAAATTTCCGTGACATATGTCTGAAAACATATAACCTAGATGCTGCCTTTTATTACACCGCACCTGGATTAAGCTTCGATGCATTCCTGAAATAAACCTCGATAAAGCTAGAACTTTTACACGATTACGATATGCTGTTGATGTGTGAAAAAGGTATAAGAGGAGGACTTACACGGGCCAGCCTACGTTATGGCAAAGCCAATAATTATAAAACATCCAACTATGACTCGAGTAAGCCAGATTTGTGGCTAATTTGTCAAGACTGTGAGTCTAGCTTACTATCTCTTAATATATCTTTCCAAAAATTTTATTATTATTATTATTATTATTATCATTATTATAGGTAACAATTTGTATGGATGGGCCATGTCCGAGTACATGCCGTATGGTGGCTTCAAATGAGTCGAGCCTACTCTCAATGGATTGGAATGCTTAGATGAAACATCGGAAATAGGACGAATGTATGAAGTCGATATCGAGTATCCGCAGCACTTACATGACGATCATAATGATCTACCATTCTTGCCTAATAAAAGTATACCCCTCGCGTCTAAAATACCAAAACTTACTGCAACACTCGAATCTAGAGAACATTATATCGTGCACTATCGTAATTTGAAACAGGCGATGGCAAATAGTTTAAAAGTTAAAAAAGTAAATATTTAAATACTTGATTAAAAATATTAGATAAATTAAATAAAAATAATTTTGATACAGTTGCACAGGGTGCTACAGTTTAGACAGTCTCCTTGGTCAGCGAATTACATTAATTGAAATACCGAAATGAGGAAGAAGGCCAAAAATGAGTTTGAAAAAGATTTTTACAAGCTGATGGACAATAGTGTATTTGGTATGTTATTATACTATAATTAGGATTATCATCTATAACTTTTTCATTCCAGGAAAAACCATGGAGAGTATGAGGTCAAGGATAAATATGGTACTTGTCTCGAGCGAAAAAAGGTTACAGAAACTTATAAATCGGACGACATTCAAATACTGTACCGATTTCTAATAAAATTCTAACAGCGGTAACAATGGAGAATAAAATCATAGATTTCTATAAGCCAATTTATATCGGTAAATTTTATATACTTTATAATTTTATATATTTTATATTTTTTTTAATTTTTAAGGTTTTGCTGTGCTTGAGATCTCTAAAACATTAATGTTTGATTACCATTATAACGTGATGAAAAAACATTATGGAGACAGAATAAAACTTATGTACACCGATACAGGTAAATATATTAAAAATAACCTTTTATATATATATATATATATATATATATATATATTAATTAATATCATTATTTTTCTAGATTCACTGATAAACCATATTCAGACGCGGGACTTTTATTCTGATTTGAAGAATAATCCGATCTTACTCGACCGCTTGGATACATCAGACTTGCCGAGTCATCATCCATGCTATATGACTGAGAGGAAAAAAGTACCTGGTTTCTTTTCAGATGAGACAAAATGTCGTACAATGTTCGAGTTTGTTGCCC